GATCAATTGAATTAAATCAATACTAGTCAATAATAATCAATCGAATAAAAAACAACGCCTACACTGCACCCTGAGCGGAGCTGCTCCATAATTCTCTGTTTATACGTCGTGAGCTGGCTAACGTTGTTGTTATTTTCATTCAAACGGCGGCCGGTGACATTGAGAATCTGAGTGTTCCGTCCACCCATGGTCTCTATCATTTCTGTCAGACGACGGGCGTTACCCGGTTTAGTGAAAGGTCCCGAGGTGCGGGTCCCAAGCCAGCTGGTGGTGCCGCTGCCAAAGTGAACAGTCCGCCAATTTATGCTCGGCGGGGCGCCAGCGTAAATAATCCGCAGCGGAGGTGGCGAAGTTTGCTGTTCTCATGGCGCCACGCCAGCGGGTGCCGCCCCCTGGTGTCGCCCCAGCCGGGCTAGGCCGGGGGGACCACACGCAGTCGCACGGTCACCGTAGGTCGGATCAGCCGCCGGCGCCGGCGCTGATGTCGGATGTTGACCAGTGACGTCATCATCAGCCGATAACGTCACTGCGTCGTACCAGTCGCCCGGCAACGGCGCTGATGACTGGTGCCGGGTAGTGACGTCATCGCCAACCGATGACATCACCGGGTCTGACCAACCGCACGGCACCGGCGCTGATGTCATATGCCGACCAGTGACGTGATCACTAGCCAATGAAATCACTGGGTCAGACCGGCCCAGCACCGGCGTTGATGACTGATGCTGACCATTGACGTCATGGCCAGCCGATGACGTCACTGGGTCGGACCAGCCGCCGGTACCGGTGCTGATGTCGGATGCCGGTCGGTGATGTCATCGAAAGCCGATAACAAATCGCTACATACATTTCCTTTCAACATAGCGACTGTTTTGTATTAGTCAACACGTCTACAAAAATAGCCATGACGCAGACATAGCAACGCTAAATGAAGCGTGACGTCCGAGGGCCAGGAGCGTGACGTCCGAGGGCCAGGAGCGTAACGTCCGAGGGCCAGGAGCGTATCGTCCGAGGGCCAGGAGCGTGACGTCCGAGGGCCAGGAGCGTGATGTCCGAGGGCCAGGAGCGTGACGTCCGTGGGCCAGGAGCGGCCGGCTGGGCAGAAGTTTGGGCATCAGCTCGAACGAGCAACGACAGGGCTCAGCTCCAAACTGCTCTGCTTCAGTCTCAGCGGCTCAGCTCCAGCTGCACCGGTCCGCACTGCTGTTGCTGCTGCCATGAGACAGCTGGAGTCTTCGGAGAACGGAGTGTAAACAAATGTAATACCTAAACAAGCTCAATTTATTTCACAGTCGGTGAGCAAGAAAAGTTTAAAGAGCGACGCATACAAAAAAGAACACCTTGCAACTTGTCCACAGCTTCGACGCCACTGAGCTACAGGCAATCCGCTCTGCCCTACACATTGACGATGCATAACAGACTGTCCTCAATGGGCCCACTCTCGTGGATGGGCGGACAAAAATGAGCTTTTTTATCCGACGCCAGCTTCTATCCTACAGTAAGAAACAAGCAGACCAGAGGTTGAACGGAGCATAACGCCTTCTCCCAATGGTCGATCACTCGCAAGCTTTAGGAGCTGAAAGGCTCTAAAGTGATCTCAAACCGTCCAGATTGAAATGTTCCGGCACAGCAGGCACGCTACCGCTTTCTCCATGTATATATCAGGTGCATCAACTGTGGTAAGGGCGTAGTTTCCCGTGTTTGTGCTCTATAAATGTACTAAAAGACTTTAGATAATGCACATCAAGAACGAACGAGTCCAACATTGCCGCGACAGGTAAACCAGAGGAACCTCCTCAGCATAAAGATTGCTCTCCGCTCGCCCCCCTCCCCCTCCCCTCCTCACCCGGATCAGACACATCCCAAGCACCACCGCGACCGTCACGGCTCGCGCCGGCGTCGACCCTCAACCCGAGCAGCATCTTCACATGTGCCGGGTGTTGCCCATGCCGCCATGGCCCGCCTGAGAGGCGCCCTTGTTGTAGCCCATCTGCAGATTAAGCTGGCCTTCGTGGGCGCGCAGCTGCTCCTCCGTGAACTCCCGCTTGTGAGCATCCGCCATCTTGGGTCCCAGCGCTGGGCCCTTGTACTCCGGGTGCTTCTGCGTCTGGAAAAGTGTCGGCGCCGATCACGTGACTGCCGCCTCCGTCGAGCGTGATACGGTCGTCGTTAGTGAGACGCAGCTGGACGGCAGAGCCGATGCTGTTTGTTTTGGGCGGGTGCTGCCAGCAGCGGTTAGCCAAGCATCGGCGACCGCCGCCAGCCGCTCCGCTGACGTCGGAAACGACGGCTAAATTCGGCTAATGCGGCACCGGGCTAAAATTAGCCGCCCACACGAGCAGTCTCAAGGTTCGATCAGCGGCTGGCGGCGGTGATCCTCCGTGTCTTACCAGGCGCGCCAGAGCGTACAGGGACAGCGTGACCTGCGGAATGTTTCTCATGTCGTACAGGTCCGCCGTCTGGAAGATCTCCTCCTCGGGAACGCCGTACGCCTTGGCCGCCTTCTGGAATCTGGAGCGCGCAGAGGGGGAGTAATCGTAGTGAATATGACAATGTTTGCGCAGCTGTTCCTGATAAGGGTGATTACTACGCAGGGTGATTACTTATTCGAATTTCTTTCGGGTTCTGCCTATTTCGGGTTATTCCTCACCACTGTGAGATAATTCAGCGAAGTGCGTGACACCAAAAGCCTGACCGTCAACTAAGATAAGCTCGTGTTGATGCTATTTCAAGGGCCGCCCACCAGTGGCGGACATGTGATAATGGAGCGCTACTGAATGCTGAGAAAGCCTACCTCTCGATGTTCTCCCGAAGTTTGAAGTGGCCGCCGCTGGTCTGGATTTTGGACACGGAGCCGGGCGACAGCTTGTTCATCAGGTGGCAGATGGCGATGCCGTCACGGAGAACATCCTCATAGCGTCCGGCCGGCAGTTTCTGGCCCGTCACAGCCTCGATCCACTCCAGGACCTCCTTCTCCTGGGTGGCGTCCCGCTTCTGCCGGCGTCGAAGGCAGCCACATTATGTTATCTTTTGGACAGCGCCTGTCACGCACCAGAGGATAATCCTGTGAAAATTGAATATATGCGAGGGCTAATTTCTCTAATGTTGCACCACCCAAAATCAATATTTAGATATCTTATCTTTGGACATATTCAATCTTGAGACAAAAGAAAGCCGGATGTAATATTACAATGAGAGTTATTTGGCGTTTAGCGATTAGTACCCGGTCTCCAACTAAACAACCCACGATTGTATCGCCTAAGCACAGCCGGAAGAATGCCTCTTTTTACACTGAATATCATCGCATGGACACTGCCTGCTGCCGGCTGGTGGCTGTCGCCTGCTCATGCCTGGTTTTGACCTAACTGCAAGACGTGACCGCGCCGTGACGTGCGCGTAACCATCGCGCCGTGACGCCTGGGCGTAAAACGACTGTCCGAATTTTTCGAGGCGTAAGATTAGCACTGTGGTGAAGCAGGAAAGAGCTGACTAAGGAATTTGACCACGTGGATGCCTTAGATCCCGTGATGTTGCTGCCACTCAGTACACGCTCTTGACAGCAGCGGATAGGGCTGCCAAACCTCGGTGCTCGCACATTGGAACAGCTGACTGGCGGGAGATGCTCCGTCCCAGACAGTAACAAACCCGGGGCAGCCGCGCGTCCGCAAGACAGGAGAACTCAGCGGCGCAGCTTGTTTACACGGGCGCACGGCCGCCACGCTGGCGTAGTCACCAGCCGCGGGCGCTGTCCGGCTCTGCGCGGAAGCACGCGCGGCTCGACGACGGCCGCCGAACAGCGGGACGTACCACCATGGCGACGAACGGAGCGGAGCGTCGAGCGGAGCGGGGCGAGGCACGTCCAGCCGGCTGCCGACACACACTGAAATCGGGCCCCGGTCGCCTCTATAAATACGTGCCAAGTCGCCGCGGCTGGGCGGCGCCGCTGCCAGCCGGTTGTTTGGTCCGCCCCTCTGACGTAGTTCGGAGGACACGGCGTACGACGGAGTGGGTGGTAACCCACCGCCGGCGGCATCCCCATCACTTCGGTGTGATGGCGTCGTGGTAAGGAGCATGGCCATGGGCCGAGGTCGCGTCTGCAGCACATGTGCTCTCGCGTGACCTGCACCGTGATCGCCCTGCGGTGGTCACCTGGCACCATGAGTTAGGCGTCCGTCTTCTCGCCAGCTCAGTTGTTCGTCTCTGGCCATTCATCAAAACACAGGAGCAACATGGTAGATGTAATGCCACGTGTGGTGACATATACGGCTCAGCGGCTTAACACTTTTTTATACGAGCAGATTCCACAAATGACAGAAACTTTATCATTGAACCGCATGCTGTTCATAGTTTTAACGTCACCGGCCTCATCTTTCCATTTCGATACACGGAGAAGCTGACCTGCACCACTGTTCCATCGCGTGGCGGCGTGAGCCATTGCATGCCATGCATGCCACGGAGCGGTATGCGTGCCCTGAAGTTATGTCCGTCGAGTCTGACATAAGGCCACGGCCGTTGAGTCTGACCTGAGGTCACGGCAGTTGTGTCTGACCTGAGGTCACGGCCGTTGAGTCTGACCCGAGGTCACGGCCGTTGGGACTGGCCTGAGGTCACGGCCGTTGAGGCTGACCTGAGGCCCGTAACCCGTGCTCTGACCCGCTGGCCTCGGGCCGCGGACCGTGACAGTCCGGGTCCTGGAGCGAGGCCGGCTGGTCGCCCCCGTGCTGCGGCCGGCTCTCCGCTGGCTGATCGGGGCGGATTCAGCATGGATACACATATCCATTGCATGTACGAGGCACAACACCGAACCTTGAATGTCTGCGGCCGCGATCATTAGCCTCAGGCGTTCCGAACCAAGACACGACGGGTTAAAAAGGTGTAAAGCAGAACCAAACATGAGTCGCATTCTCAGTTGACCTTTTATCCCAACCAGCTGCTCTTCAGTGTCGTCTGTCGCTACAGAAGCCGTCAGGAGAGACCGCGGGTCGTTGGAGGCTGCGTGCTTTCACGGATCTTCCATTCGATCTCATCTCTCCGCCGTCATTGGCGGGACGCACCAGGCAAACAGCTGCGGCGAGCCCGGGAGCGGATGGGTCGCCGCCGGCCCCGCTGCCCCCCCCCCCCCCCTCCGCCCCTCCGCCGCTCCCCTGGCAGGTGCCGACCAAAATAGGCCCAAGCTGAGTCACTCATAATCCGGTGGGTGATCAGGAGCCCCGCCGTCGGTCAGGATTAGGCAAGACATTCCAGCAGGCCACGGAAGAACTTAATGGCAGGTCATTTACGGTTAGTTAGTCAATATAAGCACATCAGTATTTAGCAAAAATTCAACGGAGGACCGATGCTTAGGTATAATCAAGATCGCCTCTTCGAATGTTTATGATCACTGTTCCCCGATTATATTCCAAGCATGCATGCAAGGCCCGTCCAATCACCTGGGACCGGTGCAAACATGGAGCTCACATTAGAACAAATGTGCCAGTGCTGAAGAACAGTGAATTGTAGGTATAACAGTGAAGTCCACGTGCACAACCCTGCACAGCGCCTCGCACTGGGTCGACAACCGGATAACTAGTGTCACGTGCCAGTGTTTCACAACATTCAAACACTACCGGTAAGTGTCACCCGCCTACCGCTTGTTGGCCGTCATCGACCGTCCCTGGCACGGCTCACCGGCCTCGGCCACGCCCGCCGGCTACGCCGACTGATTGCGACCGGTTCAACAGCTGGCGTTCCGCGGGAGCGCCTCGGGCGTCGCTCGCGGAGCGAGTGACAGGGCCGGCAGCGGCGGCGCTGGCGTCGCCCCCCCCCCTTCCCCCGCCCCTCCCCCACCGCTCAGCACGCCTGGACGGAGCGGCGCGCCCGGCTGGATCGGCGCTCCAGATGAAGCGCTCCTCGGCTTAGGAGCGGATGTGGTGTGGCAATGGGAAAACTGCCATGTGACTGCCAAACTGCCACACTGTCAAATAAACTTCATCGGCATGCTCGGTTTTGACAGAGTACCAACCAGAGAAAACGCCAAGTGGGATATTTTACTAATACACCTTTCGTAAACTACAAGCTGAACAAGATCCGGTATGATCAATGCGTACAGCTATGTAATGGGACAAAATGTTCCACCGATTCAAATTCCATTGGAGTATATATTTGAGCACGTATCTATTAAACATGAGTTGTGCATGCAAAGCGATACAAAGTTGTTTCCACATTGCATGTGAAGTTGTGGGATGGTGGCCTGGGCCGCCGATCAACTTGCGGGAGGGGGAACGAAAATCCTCCCGACAGTTCTGTGTTTATTTCTCAAAGTGGCCTCTTGGAAGTGTGCCATTTGCTAACAAAGTGCTGAGCGAGTGCACATTTATCAGCCACCGTGTGCATGCATCAGCAACGAACCATGTTACAGTCGCAACCGCTTAAACATCAGGACTGAGATAGTGGCCTAAAGGCATGATTTTTTCATAACGCAATTCGAAGTTGTTCCTTTGTTGCAAGGGAACACACTGAAATGATTTCAAGTAAAGTCAGCCTTTAGATCCGATACAGAACAAGTTCTGTACGAGCACGTGTAGTTTCAGGGCTATGGAATGAAGGAAAATGTATAACGGTGAGATAGGACTACGCGCACCTGGAGACCCGACCGCGGAAACTTTGCCCCCACACGGACTCCGCTGCAGATGTGCGCTTGGCGTTCAGTCAGGCCACCCACCAGCGGGCGCTTCGGCTTCACTCGTAGCAGGCGCGTGCACGCTGCCCCGGGCAAGCGGGGCGTCGTGAATGATGCGGGATAAATCGAGACGGAGGATACAAGGGAAGGATTATGAGTCTCATCACCAAAGGGTCTTATGGTTTCTTTAGACACTCGTAGAATCCAGACACACGTTGCAGACACGTTCCGGAATCACAAGAAAGTAGTCTTATACCTTTGCTGCAAATTCCGGTAAGTTTTCAAACTTTCGACTTTGTTCGCTGGCGACAGTGAGCAACAAGTCAAGTTTGTGCACATCACATCGAAGATTCATCATAGAACGGAGAGAACGTCCACGATGAATCGCCAGGTGTTCGTTCTCAGCATACGCGCACGACCGGACGTCGACACGTGCTCCGCCAGAAGGGTGCTGCTCATCACAGGGTTAGCCAGCTGGCGAGAGCACCAGTGTCGTGACCCCCACAAAAACGGCCTCGTGCTCGTATGTAATAAGGTACTACGCGTGAAGTGAGCACATCACCGTAATTCAGCCCTCAACGCCATCCGAGCTCTGCAAGGCGTAATTTCCAACAGCGCCGTGACGTCACCGGCGCTGGCGGCCATCCACCGCTGCCCACCGAAACTTCAGCCGCGTCCCGCCACGACACCATCCGAGCTCTGCAAGGCGTGGTCTCCAACAGCCCCGTGACGTCACCGGTGCCGGCGGCCATCCACCGCTGCCCACCAAAACTTCAGCCGCGTCCCGCCGCGGACACCCGTACCCCGGCCCCGGCCAGGCGCCGCGCCTCCCCCACACGTGGCTGGCAGGTGAGCCAGAGCTCCCACCTCCGCACGGTACTCGCGGCGGGGCGGGGCGGGCCGCCGTGCCGTTGATGTCCCGCTGGCGCGCGGGCCAGCTCGCCGAGCTGATGGATCGCGCCCTGATTGCCGCCGCGCCGGGGTGGTCGCGTCGGCGCGGCGCTGGTTGGCCGGACGGGGTCGACCTCGACAGAGTTCAACATGGTGTCAAGCTGACGGGCTGTTCGGCACGGTCGCTGTCGGGATAGGTGGCGGCCCCTGACGCAGCTCCTTCCCTCCCTCCCAGACCGCGAAAACGGCCGGCGGTGACATACAGCCGGTCGTCTGTCACGTCAAAAACGGCCGGCGGTGACATGCACTTGGCTGTTTGTCACGATTTGGGGCTGAAACTCGGCGGGGTTATCTCCGCGTGTCAGTGTGAATGAGGGGATGTGACGATTGAAGGCCTCGCCGACCGCGGCTGGCCCACTTTTTGCAACGTCGATTCCAAATGTTTTGCATCAGTGGCTTTAGACCAGAAGCACATTCAAAGCAGAGCTTGCTCTTCGTGCCCTGCAGCCATCTGCGCCAGGCAGCGTCGCTCCATTTCCACAATTGACTTTGACTCGGTCTTTCTTTGTCATACAGGATGGTGAAGGCATTTTCTCGCTCCACACAATGGCATGCCACAAGCCACCCTGCCAGCGAGAGTCGGTCCTCGCCGGCCGTCTCTGGACAGCTGCCAGCTGATCGTTTTGTGTAGGGCAGGGCAGAGCAAGGTGATTTATCCGGGCTCAATCCCACGGCTTCCGGAATTCCGCTTCTTATTCTTATCTCTTGGCAATAGAGACGGTAGTCCCCACGTGGTCATCGCAACAAACTGGGCTTGGGTCATAAATACCCGAGCTCCGGGTCTTACCTATCGCTGATGTCATAGTCGGCGAGCTATTTTTGAACGACAGCTGGGCAGGATCTACTGATGATGTGGTGGGACGCCTTCAGTCATTCCGCTGGCCTGAAACAGTCCGTTTCTCGCGCGAGGGGGTATCCTAACCCCTACCCGTGTACGGATACTCCCCTGGCGTGGATCCATCCAACACAGGACCTGTGTGCCGGCCCGGGGGGGGGGGGGGCAGCGGAGACCTCTCTGACCCGACCTGACCTCCTGGCCGCAGACGGTGGGTCGCCGTGACCCGGGCGTGGAGGCGGAGGTGCAGCAGTGGATCGAGACCGTCACGGGAGAGAAGTGGCCCGCTGGACAGGACTACAGCGTCACCCTCAGGTGCTACGCCACGCCTCACCATACCACGCGCGGGCTGGCAGTGCAGAACAGTTGGCTTGGCTGACGTTGAGCAGCTTCGTGGCGACACCAGCCACTGCGCTCGGTCAAAATAGGAGAGGCTGTCGGGTAGTGTGAGCTCGTACAACACCTGGAGACTCTGCGTTGCTGAGATAAGGCACATTTTATGATGGCGCATTTTGGGCCATGATGGCACATGGGCGCATTCTACTCCATTTTGATGGTCTTCAGCACCCGCTCAGGCCACGTTTTCTTCGTTGCATCAACACGATGCCATAAAATTCGCTGACAGACTCTGGCGTGAGTTGTGCCTTTCATGAGCACGCTGATGGCTTCAAAGGATGCACGGCATCGCTGTGTGGCGCACGACACCAAAGGTGCTCCTCGGACGCCGCGTTGGACATCGCTAAGCGTTTTTACAATGGGTGCCCCTGTTGTCAGTGTGTTTTGCCGGCCCCACATGCGCTGGGCGTTCCACTTAGACGCTTCGGAGTGAAGCCGCATCTGTCATCAGCCAGGCACTTGGCTGCCGGCGCTCGTTCGTCACTGACTCGTTTTTCTTCTAGAGATGGGCAGGTGCTGTGCAAATTGATGAACAAACTGCCACCCGGCTCCATCAAGAAAATCAACACGACCGGAACCTCTTTTAAGTTCATGGAAAACATCAATAAGTAAGTCCTAATTGCCATCGAATGCCATAGAGTACCATCGAAGACTATCGAATCCACACATGAGCCATGAGATGTGATTGGGTTGGTGCCGCAATGCTACAATATATTGCATGCCGCTATCCTATGCGTTTATCGGCGCGAATGTTGATGGCTAGCAAAACCCTTGGAGTAAAGTGGGTCGAGTGATTTCCCATAACCAAAGTCGGGTTTTTGTAATGCGTTTAACGCAAAGCCAGTCTAAGCTGACTCACTTGGTGTAGTTAGTTGTAAGGTGTGGCTACATGCCTAGTTAGGCTCTTAAGCTCGCTGCCCTAACAGGGCCCAATGATATCTTATATCGTGGTTGTTCAGCTTCCAGAAGGCGATGCTGGCGTACGGCTGTTCTGATCTGGACATCTTCCAAACCACGGACCTCTTTGACAAGAAGGATATTCCAGCCGTCACCAACTCCATATTCGCCCTCGGTCGACAGGTAGGCACTAGGTACACTTTCGCTGCCATGGCAGCCACGTGTCTATCGAGCGGCGTATGCTTCGAACATGTCAGTGACACGCGTGCGACGTTCCTGACGTGCTCCCGTCGCCTCCCGTTCCAGACATACCATCACCCCGAGTGGCGCGGCCCGTGGCTGGGACCCAAGCCGACAGAATAGGCCCGAGTATCCGGCGGAGTCGTGTTCAGGGCAGCGGTGATCGAAGGGACGGGCAGAACACGAGCAGCTTTGGCGGCCAGATGGTGCCACCCGCCGCAGTGGCCTTCTGCTGGCCGCCCGCCAGCACCCGTCACAGGCCGACCGTGACCTCCACGCGCTGTTCCTCCCGTCATCTGTTTGTTCTTGCTTACTAACATTCCGCGGTGTGTTTTGTCGCGGGATTGGTACCATGTTTCCAAAACGAGTTTGTCGTAATCATTGATGTGAATTCTTTAGAGAGCGCCGGATGTAGGCAGAGCGCTGGCAATCTCCGCTGTTCTGTTTCTCTCAAGCTGAGGGCGAGCGGGCCATGCATCTCATTACGTCGTCTGCTTGGCTGTGTCGAAATACAACTGGCTGTACTGATTTTAAGAACGCCTTTTCATGCACCCACTTTACAAACGGGAATGCCCGATGTTGATTATGCTTAAGAAGGAGTGGAGCAACAGCACGTCAGTATCCTATGCTGATCTGCTGTGGACACAAATCATTCATCATGATTTATAGGTGGTTATATCACCGCTTCGGATGTAAAGGAAGAGCTCTTCAAGCATAACGATTGGTAAGTTGGTTCAGAGCTCCGACAAACGTCACTTTTCAGCCACTGAGGTGACAGCCGTTAGAAGACCTATGTCCCACACATCGCGCGGTCGCGGCCAACGAAACACGCATCGTTTGGGGTCTTTATTTGAAGCCCATGTGGTGTCATGGAGCGCCGCCAGCGCTGTGAAGATGGCCAAGACATCGACGTCACTGGAGCACCAGCAGCAGGGTGAAGGCGGCCAACGAGGCGGCGTACTTGACGAGGCAGGAGACGTGGCTGACGCAGTGGTCTTGGGGGCCGCTGGGCACGCGCGGGCGGCGCCGCGCTGGCAGAAGACGCTGTGGTGGGGTAGAACGCACCGCGTCTATATCAACCGAACGTCAAAAAACACATCCGCTGAGCGATATGCGTTGTGTAGCTTTTCATTGCAATTTTGAATGTATGTGCTATGAGCGCACGTACGCATCTGGCACCGCAAAGCTGTTTATCTCAAGCAATCGTAACCCGTCAACACAGGGTAACCACACAATACACATGATAGAATTTCTTGCTTTGCCACAAGACCTCAATACGGAGACGCAGTGACCTGATCCCAGTCCCCCATTACAGGGACAGGGCAACGAGGAGGGTAAGGGGTAAGTAGCCTCTATTTCCGGAGAATTTGCTATCAAACTTGTCATTGCACGTAAAGCAACGATGTAAAATCACGCTTACTCATCCTCCCCAATCTGCTTTGAGGAATCACCAGGATCGTCCCGATGAGACCCCCCAAGAGAAGCGTGATCCTCCTTGACGGTCCCACGACCCACCGGCCGATACAGGAGCGCCAGCGGCGGGACGGCCGGGTCACCAGGCGCCCCCGGCTGCTCTCCGGCCATCAGCTGATTGGCCTGTGAGCGCCGCGCCGGCAGTTTAAATGTCCCCAGCCGGAGAAGGTGGCAGCTGAGCAGGCCGCCGCCCAGAGCAGCACCAACACCGTCCACGAGCGCATGCCTGGCTGGCACAAGGGACCGGGTGAGCATGTGGCTCGCTCAGGACAGACGGCGCTGCAAAAAGAGGCGCGGGGCAGCCTCTGCTCATCTCCATGGGGAACAATCGCTCACTACTGATAACTACCCAGCATAACTGCACACTCTGTACATACATTATTATGTTCCTGTGGCTGCGCGTCGGATGTCTTTTGAAGAAACACACAAAAAATCAGGATCCCACTCTGACTGGCATATGTCGACATGGTGAAGACTGTAGCTTATCACCATATGCCAACAGCTGTCACTGTTCGACATGCCAATGGTACTATCCCGCAAAGCAAAAAAAACTGTACTCCGATAAGACCAAAATGAGTATATAAGGGTGTAGTTTCCTATTCAGTTGGGAGGGCTTCAGCCCTTTCCCCCTCCCAATTTGGGCCCCAGCCCCTCCCCCAACTTTGAAAGGAAAGTGGGGCAAATCCCGGGAAAAGCTTACTCGTTAACTATTTGGGGCGGAGGTACATTCAGTTATTTTTTACTGTTCAGACCCCCAACTTCTGCCGCGAAACTACGCCACTGGGGGTATGACGCGGGGTACTTACTTTTAGACCTGAAGAACAGCCAGCCAGAACAACAATTTTAACCTCAACGTAAATAGACGTCGAAATCAGTCCTTGTCAAAAGTTATTTGAGTCGAAAAGAAAATGTAGCAAACGATAGCAACAAAACAAGATCGTCATTCGGGAAAACAAGCATGTGGTGAGAACCTCGGCAAGTAACGCAAGTGAAAAGCGCTGGTTTTCATCAACAGTACAACGGTAACCAGTAGTCTATACCGATAATGCCGCAAAAACTGCAGCAACTAAACGTCCAAAGCCTTCAAAGGGTCCAAAACAGCGCTGTTAAAGGCATTTAGCATTGTTAAGAATATTGATGAAAGTAGTCCCAAAGTTATATAGTTTTTAGTCGTTGATCACGTGACTTTCATGACACATCCTACCTTCAGGCATTAAGTGGTCAAAGAAGTCACAGCAAAATACTGGAGCACTGTGGTTTGCACTGAAAGACATCATTCATGCATGGGGAAAAGTGGAGAGCTCCAGCCGAGAGCAAAATTCGCATCGTTCATAACGCGTTGAGAACACATTGTACAATGTCAGATGCCAATGGGCCGCCAATGCCAAAACGCTAAGATGCACCGGAGGTGATGGAAAGGAGACGCGAGCCCCTTTAATTGAATGGCGTTTTCGTCTACGTCCAAATCGGCGCTGAATAGCGTTCGTGCCCGACACTCCACGCGGCGAGCCTGAGTTAGCGGGCGGGGCGCTCTTGCCCGCCGTACAGAAGCGTAATGCGGTACAGCCTAACCGGCGCTTGCTGGACTGTGCCGCAATACGCTTGGCTACGTTACGGCTGTGTCGTATCACGATAAAACCAGCCACCGCCACGGCCGGTTTTGCACATGGTATAACGGCGGGATGGTAAACGAGCCGTTACCTTGACAGCAGGGTCGAGCTGAGATGACGCGACTCAACTTCTGGCAAATAACAGAACAGGACTGTGGCGCTGCGACGCCCGTGTCTTTATCACCTTATTCTGTGCTGTTGCGTATTACCCACAAACCACAATTCTTCGGCTGCTCCTTAGAGGTCTGCACGGTACTGGGAAGGGCTACAGAAGACACCTCTTCATCTAACGACTCAAGCTCTCCGCCTCGACTGGAAACAGCTGGCCGCGACTGACAAACGTACGTCATCGCCGACCGACACAGACTGGTGCTCTGGAGCCCTAACCAGCCAGCATGATTGCTACCACTGCCGCCGATCATGTGGGCCGCGGCCAGACCTGCGGGCCACTCGCAGCTCTGCGGCGCCGGCCCACATGTCGCCACAATGGTGGCAGCTGTGCCGCGGGCGGGCCGGCAGCGTTCTGGCCGGCAGCGGGACGCGGCGGCTGACGGTCGGCCGACAAACAACAGCTGGTGCGGCCCCTCACGCCCTCGGAGTGACGACATCGGACTGCAGTCGCTGCGAGGGGGTGCCGCAGGCGCCCGGCGCACCAGGTCTGGCAGTCTTTCGCTCGTTTCGACGCAGCTTAAGGTGATTTGGCCACTGAAAAACGTGTCTTTATGCATCCACAGAAAGTGCGTCTTATCCTCCTAAACTATGAGACATCATTTCTTTTTTTCGCCAGCAGTTCCATCTATACCTCCCAGTATTATACGAAGTTGGGCATCCCACATTGGCTACTGGGGTGATAAAACCTGCCGACTTGGTGAATGGGGTCGGCGACAATAAGACATGTATCCACGCAAAGCTTGGTGCCAAAAATGTTTTTGGACAGAACATTTTGGTGACATCCAAGACGAAAAAAACACAACACACCATGCAAAATATAACATGAGGTCTCCGCGCATAGATATCATGCCTCCGTGGTAATATGTTTCGTCACGCAACACCAGCAGACGATTCCGTAGACTCTTTTTACCGTACCCTGCAGCACCATAGCATCTTTTCTAGGTCTGATTCCAGCCTGGCGACAAATAAGTTCCATGATTCTTAGTCGGTCGGCCGACTCGGTGACAGGTTGGCGACAAATCGTTGTATTCTCTGTAGCCCGGCTGGTGGCCGATTCGGCGTTGTTAACGGCCGCCCCTCAGTGTCCCGAACTAGACAGTATAAAAGACTGAAAACAATCTAGATATGGGGATTCATCTGGCCGCGAGGGTATGCTTTAATCGTTGCAATATGACTGATATGAGGTGGGCGGTGACTTTCAATGCACTACAACCTGCAAGTGGCATTCGCATTGCGGTGTCATGAATACTTGCCTAGGGTTTGATTTTTGACCTCACTTACATCGTTGGCGGTACCGTGATTCAGCATCCTGTCCTCAGCGACGAGAGGCATTGACAATTCAGGGTAAATCGGCGGAATGATCTGATCAAGGAAGAAATTGTCCTGTGATTGTCCAAACCACCTTTTCAAGACTCCGAAAAGGCTGTCACTGAAGCAGTCACAAGCGACCAGCCTTCTTCCCTTTGAAAAGAGCCGTAGATTTGACGCTGAAGTCTGATGGCACTCCACATGAAGGGGAATAACAGGAGGTGATAATAGCCCTGAAATGTCAGGCTATACCATTTTTGCTGTTGTCCTGATTGAGAATGGTTACTAGTCACATATATCTTGAAATCAGCGGTGTTTCTTCTTTTTATTCAGCTCAGGACTCTATCCCTCCCCGTAACTTGGGGAAGAAGTTTACTTATCTGGGAGACATCCATATTTTGGTACAGAGAGCTAGGATCGCTTTTGAACTAGGGTAGGAGTGAAAAATTTCATCGCAATAAGACCGCGCGGGAGTGAAAAAAAAAATTAATTCACAAAAGGTGGAACTTATGTGCTTGTGGCTGACGCTTCAGCAAACAAAGACATCTATTTCAAGTTGACATGGATGTACTATCGGAAACCTGAAAAAAACTATTTTGCTTTTTAACATCTTAGGCCATTAAAGTGAAGCAGAATACATTAAAGCATAGTAATTTCGTGACAGTGTAATGAGCTTAAAAAAATTATTAACATCAATAATTTGATGCTGCACTTTGCACTTCCCTACCACAGCACTTTTAACACAAAACAAAGCAAAGGAATTCAATAACAAAATAAGAGCAGAAAATTAAACCGGCACAAAACAATCAAACAAAAAAAAAACTTTGGACTCATACACACCAGCCCATCGCCAAGTCAAACACACTAGACATACTTCTGGCTTCTGTTAAGATGGGGCCAGGGAGAACAAACATTTAGTCCTGTTTCTTACAAATTTCCAATGCTTATTTCCATGAAAGTA